GGTGTCTGCCTGACGGTTTATTTTTAATTTAAGGTTTTTTCTTTGACTGGTTTATGCTTTCAATGTTATTTTACCTTAAAAATTGGGTCTAAAAAAACAGCAAAACTGAAACATTTACAGCTGTGGTTAAACAAGAAAGAAGCAAACCACAGTAGAAACATGTTGTCTTAAATCCAATTGTAGGAATTAGGTTATAATGAACGAGTAATAATAGTGATAAATAAAGAGAACATGACTAGTTAGAACATAAATAGTTCTTGTTGTCATTTATTGGGGAAACTGTCCAGTTAATATCTGCATTCATAAGGTGATCATTTCTGAATCCACGGATGAGGAGGAAGTGAGGAGAAAGGAGGTGCCTCCTCCTGTCAGTTAACTTATTTACAAAAACTGTAAACCAAAGAGTTAAAATTCAGATTAGAATCTGAGTTTCTGCTCTGCTTCTGACTCAGTTAGTCTGGAGCCTTCAGGCAAGAACTAACAATCTATCCTAACGCTTAAACCTTCTCTGTTAGCTGCTCTAATTAAAGGTTTAGATGATTTTAGATGGTAAATTTCATGTTTTACCATTATGTCCAGTTTCCCTTTTTCTTCTCCTAGGCAGATATACGTACATAAATCCAGCTGCCGTCAAAGGCTTCATTGTTCACCATCAGGCTCCATAAACTCATTTTTCCATCTAGTAGCTCTGCCAGAATCCCCAGGTCGACCAGAGAAGCCAAGGCTGGAGGGTAAATGGGTAAAGCTTGGTAATGGAATAATCAAAGTCCCTCTGTTTCCCTTTCCACAGAGTATGTCCAGCTCTACATCGACTTCCTGCTGAATAAATCCATTTACAAGCAGTTTGCTGCCTTCTACCATGGCTTCCACAGCGTGTGCGCCTCTGACGCCCTCATGGTGAGTTCAGGGAGTCCATGCGTTGGTTTATTTATAGTCTGTAAATATAACTGATACAAACTGTTCAATGTTAATGGAGGATTGTTGAGTCCGTCTGATTTTTAATCATTTCTCTGAAATCCATTTGGAGCAAAATATTCCAGAAAGTCTGGACACACTGCAGAAAATGGAATCTAAATAAGTGATTTTTTTTATTAAAACCAGTCCGTTTGTTCTTTAATTAAGGAGCTAAGCGAGACTCTTTGCCAATGGAACAAGACAATTTACATTTAAAATAAGAAAACACATCTTCAATGTCTTATTTCAAGTGCATATTATCTAGTTATCTTATTTTAGGAGTAAATATACTCATTGGCAAATCCTTTATAATCAGCATTTATTTACTCAAATTGAGGGTAAATAAACTTAATTTAATACTTTTTTTTGTTTTATGTATGCATGACGTTAAATCTCTCTCTGACATTTCTGGTGTCTGTCCTTTTGGGTATTTGGGTTAAAAACAAGATCAATCTGCATTAACATTTTCTTAGACAATCTGGCATAAACACTCAGCATACTAACACAGATTAGTGTCACTGTGCACTTTAAAAAATGGCAATGGTCATTTTTACTGCTAGCTGCTGCTTTACTGTCGGAAAGCTGTATAAACAAAGATTCTTTTGTATCTGTAAACAAAATGACAAAGTATCTTTGGGTAAAGCAAAACCTAACATGGTACATGTGGACAACCAACTGTAGAAATGGAAAACCTGAAACACACAGCACACGGGCAAGATGCATACAGGTCAGGGCATGGATGGCGTGTCAGTTTCTGATACGGACAGCTAAGCATCCACCTGATGCAACA